CTTTCCTTTGGAATCGCACTATAGCGTTTGCATCGCTGCAGAAGGTTTATATCTCACTTATGTTGATATAATGAAGGATTTCCTTGGGGTCACAGTGAAACTACTACTGGGAAGTTTAGGATTCATTACACATTCTTATTCAGTGTACATCAGATTGCAACCGATTCTTTGGAATAACACCTATTGATTATTTTGCATTAAAAAGAAATAGTAAAATTTGACACTTCGACCTGTAGACAGTTTCAACTTGCCAAAATCAAGAGAGAGGTCAGTTCTCAGCGACAGAAAGACTTGCAGAGGATCAACCTCAAACATTAGTCTCTGAGGACACAGAAGAGAAAACTATCATTTATATGGAAACCATGTTATGAAGCTCTCACTTACTTAGAGTAGCGTCCAAAAAGCATTATTTACTGGACTAATTGTCTGTTTGTTTAAAACCTGTACATGTTCTGCAACTTAATCACCTAATTGAGATCATTAAGGCCGAGTTTTTTGTTCTGACAGAATTTAACCAGAGCTACCAATCATGTCGCAATTAATTCTTGAGTTCCCTCAACTTATTGAAAATTTTGCAGTGCAATTTGATATTTATGATCCACATTTCTGCCGTGTCATCCCATTACTATATACAGCCGCCGATGTGACGATAGTAGGCGCAGTTTCTTCTTTGTTTAAAAGTCTTTGTATTGTGCGTATTCTCGTTTGCCTGCTATTTTTATAATTTAAAATGGCGTGTTAGATAAGCTTATTAACTTGGCCAACTCTAAAACACGTAGTTATACCGAAAAATATCTGGCCTTGATTAACGAACCTAGATGTGCAAAATGTCCTCGTTTAAAGTCTTTGTCTGCCAAATGGGTTAAATATTTCAACTTTATAACACCAGAGCCGATAAGATATTTTCCTAATGAGATTTGCAGCATGTTAATCCGCTTTTTCCGTAACCATATATCGGCATTTGTTCAACGAACTAAAATCGAACACAATTCAGACATTCCCTTTCCCTAGCTGGTACTCACTGAATTTCACCACATTTTACATTGCATCGCTGCTACCACGAACATCATTCGTCACACCGGCATTAGCAACACCTAACAACACGTTCCAGAGGGGTTTCCTTAGCGGCTGATGCATTTGATTGGTCCGCTACAATTAATTCAGTGTGGGGACAGAATGAAAGGACTGCTACCAAGAGTGTTATTCGTCAGGCTACCGTCAACCACCCCTATAGACACGTCAAAGGGGGTTTTCATTATCGACGCTTGCATCTCATTGGTCAGTTACATTACAGTCCGTGTGCAGAATATAATTGACGTGCTACTCATATTTTCACAAGCAGTACATTAATATTGTTATTCCTTTTTTCTCCACCAATCTGAGTTGGTGGAAATAGCATCAACCACCAGCCCACATAGGTATCTGAGACTGATTGTGACTATCTTAATACAATCCATAGTTCTCCTACTACCCTAGAACTCTCAACTGTATTCCACCAAATAAATCATTCCTCAACCTGCTCCAAAGTTTCTCATTATGTTACCGGTCCCGTCTTCCTCAAAGCGTTCGCTCGACCTCAGCTATCCTCTCGGCATGTTCAAAGAAGCGGTTTAGATCCAGGAGATCCAGCTCCCAACCCCCTCTCCTCTCGAAGCCGGCAAAGACAGCATCCCAGGCAACCTTAAATTGTTCAGTTGTTCTAACTGACATATCCTTGCCTCCTCAACCCGGCAACACTCTCTCACCATTGCCAGTAGGTTCTAAAGTCCTGAATGAGCTAAAAAATCTCAAGACACGTGTGCGCCAAACGGAGAACGAAATGTCCTTTCTCCGAACAATACAATCGATTGCATGCCTTCTGAATCCTAACGCAACATGCAATCAAAGAAACTTAGAAAAAGCGTCATTTCTTATTGACACCATAGCAACTGAGATTAGTCAACGCATCGAATGCCGGCATCAAGTATTAGCATCCGATCGAATCCCACTTGAGCATGCCGAAATGCCATCCTGAATGCATGTGGCATGCAGGACACCATCTGCAAAGCTCGGCGACTCCGGAAGTGGAAGCCATCCATGTGCTGCCCGATAGCAATTCAATTCCGGGAGGAAAAAGATGCCGCGCGTCTGCTAACAGCCCGGACTCTTCTCTCATCTACCGAAAAATTTCATTCCTTAAAACTTGAAGCTGCTCGTAGAAGAATGCAAAGACAGCTTACCAAAAAGTCACCGGAACCTGCTGCATCATCACCCACCAGGATTTGCGCTGACAAGTGCCGCAATGCCACACAAAGCTGTCTGTTGGACCCAGGTCCTGTGCCCCACACTCATGACAATGAGCCCTCCACTCCTATCTCTGGGCATCCACAAATGTTATCTCTGACATCCACCACGCCAACGAGATCGACTGCTGATTTAAGAGATACGGTAACTAATCAGCCCACACATGAGGCTGTGGTGGAGAATGATAGCACAGTTTCTCACTCTAGACCTCCTGACCTAATGACAATTCGTGTCTCCCCACCAAAGCGCTTCCTTGGAATCAAGCACCTGCTGTCCAAGCCTCGCACTGTAACCCCTTCTCCTATACCAACTCCCCGAGCTTCCGCTCTTCGCCCTTCTACAAACCTGACTGAACCCGTGATTCCTCATAAGCACATCCGTAGCCCCCCCACCCAATCTAC